CCAAGTGGCGTTAGTAGACTTCCACATCTTTTTCCTGCTAGATGTTCTTTGACGCGTATGCCGAGCATCCTTCCCGTCTCACCATATAATTCGTCGCAGACTGAACACTGAAGTTGATAAACCGTCCCTCGCTGTGTGCAATGAAGCAGTTTTTCGTAGAACATGCACGGTTGTAAAGTCAATTAGTTGACATTTGATACTGTCTCCTGGTAGGTTTATCAAGACAACATCATCGGCTAAAGCGCATGCTATGCACTGCCTGATTTCTGCGTTTATTTTGTCCCATGAAAGGAAGCCGAAGACACACCATGTTCTCAGGATTTCTTGGGGAAATGCCTTTTCGAGCCTGATCTTCCTATATATATAACCGAACTGTGTGCGATCGGCAAGGCTACCGGAACGTTCTGTTTCACCGTTACGAAACTGATCGCATACTTGGACCTGGAATGAGACGTGGTTGCTGATGGGCAGCAGTGACCCCCTGTCACCTACAACAACTGGTATGATCTCTTTCTTTGAAAAGAGATTTGTCTTGACGAAGTTTGTCGTAGCGAACGTCCACTATCCACTGCCCTCAAATGCCGATACTATTCTGACCTCAGTCAGAGCAATCCGCCTCAAAGTCCAGGGAACGGAACAGGCGATATCTACTCCCCACCCCATCATACGCGACGCTCTACGCAAAAGAGATTCAAGACAGGACTATTTGCAAAAATCCCACACTCCCTGACTGGACGGGATCGTCGAGTGCGGGTCAATGTGTTTCAGAAGCTTCTCGCGTGTTAGCGAACGTTGACGTAAACGACTACACTATTGCTGAGGATGAAAAGTGTTAGGTTGGAAATAAGTCCTGCAACACTGAACATGTTCCTCCAGATAAAGACCAAAGCCCTTTTCAAATATTTCCGCGCCTGATTCCAATAGAGTGCTTGTGGAGGATTTTGAAAATAAATATAAAAGGGCTCGTGAAAAGGTTCTTCATGAAATACGCCTGTCTGACCATGAACTACGCCTGTCTGACGAGACGAACAGGATGCACGTGGCTGAGTCTCTTCTGCTTCGTCTCCATTGGCTGCTTTCNTATCAAGACAACATCATCGGCTAAATCCGCGCATGCTATGCACTGCCTGATTTTTGCGTTTATTTTTTCCCATGAAAGGAAGCCGAAGACACACCATGTTCTCAG